TGTTTACTCCAACCCATCTAAATGTATGCATGCATTTTTTTTTCAAGGTTTCATTTCTTAACTTTAAAACAACCTCTAATGTCAGGCCACATTTTAAATTCAAAAAAAAAAAAAAAAAAAAAAAAACACCAAAAAAAACCAAATCAGAGAAAAGTAAAATTCTTTGAATGTCATTTCACTCTACCTTAGTGCTTTGGTCCTGGTGGAAAGGCAAGCCCAGAGACTTTAAAACAAGATTTATGAATCAGGCTCTTCAGGATGAATGTTTTGCAATCCCCCAGTGGTTAAAAATTAACTCTGACAGGTGTAAAAGGGCAGGGGGAGAAAGAGTCATGTATTTTCCTCTCTGGACTTGAGGTGCCATATCAGACTTCAATTATGCTACATTAATATTTCTGAATGTATCCATGAAATCTGAAATATGTAAATATACTTAGAATGGGTTTCATTCAAAGGCAGCCCATGTTAACTGGTCCTGTTTTTACTTTAGTTGCCCTGTAGTGATCTGCTTTAGCTACCTAAGCATTAGCAGGGTAAACATCACACCATGATTCAAAAAAACCTGCTGTTTGAGCTTTAAATGTGTTGAAGACCTTTAGTCACAAAGGGCACAGCACTTACGCTATGCTTAACCTCAAACCTTCGTTTCCCTCCATGAGGGGAGAAGCCTTGCATTGCAGGTTTGCTGGGTACATTAACAGAGGTGGTATGTGAAAGTGCTTTGAAAGCTGGGGTGTGTACCAGAGGTTAAAAGACAGTTCACTGGATGATTATCATTCTGTGCAGTTCTATGCAAGGAAGAGCTCCAAAGGAGAAGCGGCTTTTGTCCCTGGGAAATGTGCTTGAGCAGATGAGAACACTTACGTGTAAGAGGACAAGGGGCTTCGTGCAGATGCAGTGGATGGCAGTGTCTGGGGCTGCTGTGCACAGCTGTACATTGTGTGCACTGTGTGAAGGCACCTGGGCAGTGGCAGGAGGAACTGGCACTAAAATCCAGGCCCTTCCACTCGCCATGCCACGCAGAGGAAAGGGCCTCCTACAAGGGCACCTTCCTCCCTCTCAGCATGCACCCACTCCCGAGGCAGCAGCCGCCCAGAGAGGGTCTCTCTCACATTTGCAGGCTCCCTGGCCTGGGGCCTATCCCTGCTGGCTAGGAACGGGGGTGGGGATGGGGTCAGAGGGGAAAACGGCCTCACAGGGAGACCATGAGACAGTGCTCACCAGGAATGGGGAACAAGGGGGATCGGAGCTGAGAGTGAGGCAAGCTCTCGCAGGGCCTTAAAAACCAGAGCTGACCCAACACACAGCAGAGACCACCTCACAGTTCTCACAACCACCCCAGGACAGAAGCATTATTCCAATGTCAAAGGCCGGAAAACAGTTTGGAAAGGCTGAGTTACTTGATAACGAACTTGGCAAGTAAGTAGCAGGAGCTGAAATTCAGACCCAGTTCTACTTGACTCCCATGGTTCTTTCCACCGCGTAGCCGACAGAGGGAGTGATTAGGAGCCTTATGACAACAGTTATGAAAACTGCATGTGGCTCTTTACTGTCTGTGACCCAGAGGAGCAAACTGCATGTACTTTTAGTTGATTACTTGCTGGAGACTTAGAGGACTTCTGACTGGCACTGAGAGCAGCACTGCTCACGCAGGTTCCACAGACCCGGGCAGCAGGGCAGTGGAGTAGAGCCCTCCACAGACTCGAGAGTCGGCACCCATGGGTCGGGTGCTACCCCATGAAACCCTTAACCTCTGCTGGCTTCCCCTTTTTCGTGTGCACACAAAGAGCTGGGCAATACTTTCAAACTAAGTGACGCCTTTATGATACTGTCACTGAAATATCTCCTGCTCTTTACAATCTGATAAAAATATCAAGCCTCTATTTCTTTTTTAACCCAAACTCAAACCATCTTCTGTCACCATATATTAGGCCCCCTTTACACACACCCCACACCCACTTCCCTCTGGTAATCACCATCCTGTTGTCTGTGTCTATGAGTTTCAGTTTTATATTCCACCTATGAGTGAAACCATATGGTTGTTAGCTTTTTTCTGATTAATTTTGTCAAGCCATTTCATTATTTCTGTACTTGGCAATTTATCTTGAATAAATCTTTGAAACTCCTTGAACTGAAATGTTATTTCTCCTTCCCCTATTCAAACTGTTCCTTTTATTCAAAACCCAATTTAAGTCTTATTTTTCCTATGAGCTTTTTCTGTCGACTCAATTACCCTAACAAGGTACCAATCACATCCCTAAAATTATTTTTGTACTTAGAATACAAGCCCTTCGGTCTAGTGCTTAATTAGACATGATGTGCTAATGGGTCCTATTCGAATTGACACACTGCCTCAAACATCATCAGTGTTGCCTGTCCGTTCAAGTTCTATCTGGTAAAAACTATCAAAGATGTCTTTGTCCCATAATAGTCTTGCTACCCCTTCCCACAAATATCATTCACGTGCTCATTTCTATCCACAGTAATAAAGTTACTGCAAGTGAATGATTTGTAACCGTTTATGGAAATGCATGGGTACTGTGTTCCCAAAGCCCTCTGGTAAAACCACGCACGCGCTGGGGCAATGAGGGGACTGGAAATGTCACATTCCTACCAGGCCTAAGAAATCATTTCTCTGACCCAGGGCCTCCTGCCAGTCACCTGCACTGGAGCCATTCCTGAGCAAAGGTGTCCGGGATGGGGCGTTTTTCCTGGGATGTGTCATATGTTTTCACAGGTGAGAGACGCTAAAGCATCCCTTTAATTCCAAAGGGCCTATACAATTTCCAGACAGCTAGGAGATAGCACACCGAAGTAAAAATGGCTCACCATGGTTTAAAATGACTTGGGTTCATTTTTTGAAGAGGCTGTATGAATTCTGGGATGGTCTAGCAAATGTTCAAGGCTTCATTTGTCTTTATGCAACAGAGCTGGTGGAAGTAATCCACCTTTGGAACTGCCGCACCAACTTCCTTATAAAAAAAATGTAGGTAGGGTCTACGATATATCAAGCAGTTTTGTTTTTGTTTTTAATCCTTACCCGAGGGTATTTTTAAATTGATTCCTAGGGGGGTGGGGGGCATTCAAACATCTATGTGAGAAATATCAATTGTCTGCCTCCCGTATGCGCCCCAATCAAGCATCAAGCCTGCAATCTAGGTACACGCCACGCCCCTAACTGGGAATCGAACCTGCAACCTTTTTGGTGTGTGGGATAATGCTCCAACCAACTGAGCCACCCAGCTGGGACTATCAAGCACTTTTAAGTGTGTATTATGAAAATGGTTGCAGATGAATCTTTTCTTTGGCAGAATTCAGCAGAAACTGATAAAGATGTTTGATCAGTTTATACCAGTCACTCATTAAACTCCACCACTGATCCTACTACACCCATGTGATAAATTCTCAAAAACTCCATGTGATAAATTCATTTGTGGGTGTCTGTCACACCCTGGTTGGTGTTTAGCTTCCATACCTCCCCTCTCCAGAGGGGGAGCCACTGAGAAGACCAGGACGGTGGTACCACCTAGCCCTTCCCTGCAGCAGGCCCTGTTGCTCCCCTAGGGTCTGAGACAGACCGCCACACTAATCAGGAGGAAGTGAAACATCATAGCCCAACCTTTGGCCCAGCGATCTACTTTCTTCCTCACTCGTGTGTGTGATTAGTTTAGGGAAGGCCATCAATGAATGACTATAGTGCCATGTTCCAAACCTGTGCCGACCTCTTCTCACAGGGTCCTTCCAACACATCCCGGCATTCTTTCCTGCTGAGCCCACAGGCAACCTCTGAACATCGACACAGAGCTCCAAGACCCACTAACAAATGACCCACGCATCACAGGAGATGAAATCTGTGGACCACCACCTGGGCTTTAGTCCGTGGCCATCCTTGTCGACAGCCGTCTCTGCAGTTTACCTATAATGCGAGGCCCCCCTGTGGAACATCCTGCTTGCTGTGATCTGGAACACACCACACCTGCCTTAAGTACCACTTCTGCTGCCTCTTCTCACCTCTGGAGACCATATTTTGGGCCTGTCCACAGGAGCCCTGCCCAATACCCACCTGGCTTTACCCCACCCCTACAGGCGGGCTGTAAGCACAGGCCCTCGCCTCTCTCAGTCTGCTCCACCCAAGTGGAAATAACCAACCCTGGCCATGGAACACCTAGAGGGGCACAGCTTCAATCTACACTGCCTGACAGTGACCCTGGGTTCCCACGGCTGCCCACACAGAGGTAAATCTGGGAACTCTCAGGAGCTACCTCTGAGGTTTTATTTAAAGTCTAAGCATAAATGAAGAATATAAGCAACACCTTTTACTGGTCCTGAAACTTCACTTATAAGACCTTACTCACTATTTTAAATGGCCAGCTTTTAACCGGCATATACAGCAAAGTAAGGTTGCTTAGACTTTCCACAGTAGAAGAAAAATACATCAGTTTAAATTAAACCCACTGCTAACACGGTCTACATTTCCTGCTTTGTTAAATGGCTAATTGAACGCCAGCCTGCTTTCAAAGAAGGGCCTGGCTTGCTCTAACGTGCTGCAGTGAACTCCCTGGTTTCATGCTGCTTGCGTTCCTGAAAATGTTTATTTTGACAGACATTTCTCAGCATACCTGCTTCCAAGAAACACATTCCCAAATACTTTAAATTATATAGTAATTATAAATCCCTACTTTCTCAATATTAGAAAGACAAACTAAAATGTCAACAACTAAAATGAGCTCCATAATTTATGCAAAACTAGAAACATAGAAGTTGAGGGGAACAGAGAGCTCTCCCAAGAAGCTCATCGAAAACCAAGATCATTTCAAATCCACACACACTGAAATACGGATGACACTGACCATACACACTACCATTCACCTGTGGTTCTTTAATCACAAGAACATGTTATTACAGAAACGTAGGCTATTTCAGATGAAGTCTAAAGCCACCATTTATCAGGCTCTAAAAACCAAACAATGAATGAAATTGGAAAGTTCAAAGGGCACTACCTGGTGCTGGCTGTCGCTCGCTCCATTCCGTTGAGATTAAAATTTCTATAACTTTTCGGAGGGGTTCAGCATTCTCAGAGCTACAGAAAAAAAGAGAATTCCATTAGAAACCTTCTCCCTACACAACAGACTCATCTTCATTTATACACATTCCAATGTAAGTGTACACATGGGTCTGGGAACTAATATCTTTAGAGTAAGTGTGAAGGCGAATCAACCTAGGACTACCCTCATCATCCCCAAACGCATGTTTCTCTTCTTTCACTCACCTGGCTGCAGGGAATCTGAAAAGCAGAGGGCTGAAAAGTTCCGAGAGCACTCCTGCAGTCAAGAGGTTCTTGCTGGAGCTTTGGGAGAGCTTGAAGAAATGTTTGAGCAAATACTGAAGCGTAAGCCAATACTGATGAGGTATGTTCGGTGACCTAATGAGCTTCTTCAACAGCTGGATATAGTCTTCGGAGCTTTGTACTTCTACAGGTTAAAAACAACAAGAAAGGAAATGAGAAAAGAATAAAAGATATTTCTAGGTACCAGTGAATAAGCACCTAAAAAATTCCTGTCCTTCTGGCTATGGAAGAAGGAGCCATTTAAAACAAAGTCATCAGAAGCAGCAGACAGTCCATTTGTCCTTCTCATTAGAAAAGACATTGTGAGAAAGTAGAAATCTCAAGTCAAATGGAAATGTAAGAAGTTTTTGGTGTAAAGAAAAAACCACAAAAGGTTCAGGGTGTGCTGGCAGAAATCTGCCCTCTATTGAGCAGCTGCAAGTGTGATTGGCTAATTTGGAGGAGCATCAGATAAGTATCACAGGTTTTAACTTTGAAGGTTACAAACCACAATTTCCTGTCCCCAAAGCACTTTAACTGAGCATTAGCTCCTAAAACTGAGTCCTCTTCCCTCGACACTTTTTTCATGGCCACTTGAAGACAATGGTAAGAACATCCCTAGCCACTGGGGCCTAGTCCTGGTTCCCTGGACCCAGTGATGGTACCTGAAACACGGTGGCCTTCACTGATGTGATGAACTCTGTTAACACTGATAAAGGTAAACCATTAGCCACTTCAACATGTGGACAGTTTTCCTAAGCAAACGAGGAGCTGGGTCTTCTATTGGATGTTAATGGAGGGAAGTGGTACTAATGGGAGTGGGGGTAGGGTGGTGATGTAGGGTCAAGGGTGGGGGGAAGAGGGAGGAGGAGGAAAGATTCCTACTAATATTTTCTTTAAAAAAAATCATCTCTTCATATGAAGACTATACAAGCATATCCACATCTCAATACATGTTCAATGAAGTTCTCCAAGAGAAAACAAACCTTGGGCTAAAGAAATCATTTCATTGTAAACAGCTACTGGAATGACAGGATTCGGTAGGTCCGAGAGATAGCGTTTGAAAGCGTCTGCTAAAACTTGAACATCAACTGTTTCCAAGTCCACGGAGGCAGCATCTATGATAAAAACATTAAAAATAAAATTCAGACATTTTATACAATGGTTAGGCCAATTTTCTGAATGTCTGACTTAAATGTGACATATGAAAGGAAGCAATAAGGACTAATATGAGTTTCTCACAGGGGTTGCCCCTGGCATTTTAAACAATTTTTCTTTGTGTCAGTCTATCTCCAACACAGTAAGCACTTAGCATGATGGCCCTTGGCCATGATGCCAGGAGCACACTCCCAGACTTCGGGGCAATAAAAAATTGTTGTGTCCCTTCATTCATATGCTGAAGCCCTAACTCCCATATCTCAGAATGTGACTATATTTGGAGATAAGGCCTTTAAAGAGGTTTTAAGTTAAAATGAGGCCATTAGGGTAGGCCCTAATCCAATCTAACTGGTGTCCTTATAGGAAGAGGAACTGTAGACACACACAAAGACACCAGGGGTGCACACATAGAGGAAGCGCCACGTGAGGACACAGCAAGAAGGTGGCCATCTGTAAACCAGAGAAGGGTCTCAGAAAAACCAAACCTGCCTTCACCTGGGACTTCCAGCCTCAAGAACTGTGAAAAAACAGGCTTCTATTTTTTAAGTAATCCGGTCTGTGGAATTTTGCTTATGGCAGCAAAACTAATGTAGTCCCCAAAACATTTCCAGAGGGGGGTTTTGCCTAGGGATGGCTAATCATATAGTAAATGCTTCCTAAAACCTCAACAGGAAAATGTAGAATTCTTAGACTTCCTAAAATTTGAGTTGCTAAGTCCTGCACCTTAGAATTCATATAAGTGTAACCCAACAGAGTGACTGATTGAGACAGCAAGATATTATAGAATTTTAGCAATCTCAAGAATACCCATAAAAATAACCTGAGCACCTTTAACACACGATCCCCCTAATTCTGACAGGGTATTGTGATCAGGGGATTACTAATCTAACCAGTGGGCTCTGAACTATCTCAGAAGAACAGTAAGACGAGCATATCTGTCCAGCAAATCCTTCAGCTGGAAAAGAGGTCAGGTGATTCAAGAATGGGATGATACGAATCAAAGCCACTCTGAGTGCTTGAGAGAGAAACCGGCACAGTGCTCAGGAGAAAGAAGGGGTTCTGGGGCAGGAATGGCCATCCAGAAACAAGGGGCGTTTGGCTGCTGGTGAAAGATGCACTCGTGACATGAAGGGTAACTTGAAGAAAATTATCTGGAGACTCAATGGAGAAAAGGTGAGCCGATGAGCAAATTGCTACACTACATCTTTAAACTGCTTTATTAATTGTGGTGTTAAAATAAGTTGGAAAGCAGAGCTGTCGGAAGTAAAAATAATACTTTTGGTCATCTGAATTCTACTACAGCTAGAAATGTATGAGACATTATCTAGAACTAAGGTAATGTGGGACTGACTGGATGAGGCTGGAGCCTGAAGAGGATGAGCAAGAAGACGTTTGAACACAAGTGGAGGGTGGTATTCTGGATTCCGTGAACCAAGCATATTGATATAAATCACTCCAGGTTGAGCCTGAAGCTACAACAGTTCCCTGGACACATCCTTATCATAATCCAAACTTGCCCAACTAAGTAGGCAGATTTTACAAAAGATAATCACATACCATAAAGCTTGAAAAGTTCATCTCATGGAAAACGTTGGCAGTTTAGTTTGACTAAAAGAATGATTGAACTTAAAAGGTAGAGTCAAAGCGTTAAATCACTTAAATGTCCTACAAAGAACTAACGAGAGACATCACATTAGATATGTCCCAAGCGTGGGAAAGGCGATACTAGGTCTTTGGATAAAGGATCCACCCACCTCGAAAGTACTGCAACGACTTACTAGTGGACTGTCAAGAAAAATTGTGTGTGAATCACTATGGGAACATTCCGTAGCCACTGACTATTGGGCAAGCTGCTGCCTACCCTCTCACACTCCGCCCCATATGCTTCATTTACTAAGTCTCTTTGCCAGCAAATTAATTATTACTTAATTCGTTCATCCTAAAAAATGTGAGAAACCATTGGGTGATGTGGTATAAACATTTAGACACTAAATATTCCGCATGTCCCTCCATCAGGCAGGGTTCCTGCTGTCTTCTCTGCCAGAGCAATGTTGATGAGCCACATCTCCATCATGACACGTCCCAGACAGGATGCTAATGCCTGTCTCCCTGCTGGACTGAGAGTACAAGGGCACGGGCTATGGCTCTTACCTGCTCCTCTTGCCTCTCCCAGTGCCCAGATCAGCACACAGAATGTGCCTGTTCAGTGTTTGTGGGCTAAACTAAATAAAAGGTTCTTAGAGTAGGGCTTTGGTAAATGAACATTACGCTAACACCTGAGGTGTATTCCAAAGAGCCTTAACCGTCTTTGAATGAAATAGCCTTATTTTAAGTCTCTGGCAAATCCTTGCATCAGCTCACCTTACGTCAAATTCCACTAAAATTCATGACATCGTATGTTCCATTTATTTTTTTAATGTAACTTCTAAAGTTTCTTGTAGTTTCTGACCTCTGTCCTATGTCTCCTTTTTTGCATTAAAGCTCTTCCAAGAGCCATCCTTGACTTTCGAAGCTAGCTAGGTAAGAGCTGTACAATCTTTAGATCTGGGTTGGAGGAGTTCACACTCTCTCCCACCTCACTTTTCACTGAGTTCTATTCAAGACAGATAACCAGTAAACTCGCCACCGCTTCAGCCCTCCTCCAACTGGAATGGCATCCCCTCCTCAACTGACCTCACTGTTAGCAGCTCCCAGTTTTGCTGCCCAACTGCACCCCCCACCAGGGATCTGGCAATGTCTGGAGACATTTTTTTGTCACAACTGGAGGATGAGGGCATCTAGTGGGTAGAGGCCAGGGATGCTGCTAACCATTCTATCTTGCATAGGACAGTATACAACTGTTTATCCTAAAATATCAATTACAGTACTGAGGTTTAAAAGGCCTGACTTTTAGAAAATTGAGATATTATATTAGTTTTAGGTGCACAACAAAATGATTTGTATTTGTATATATTGTGAAATGATGATCACAGTAAGCCTAGTTAACAAAAATTGTTTTGATGAGAACTTTTAAAGAAAAAGCCTGATTCAGGTTAAGGAAAACCAAAATAGTCAGGAAAAAGTTCACATAAGACAAGAACAAAATAATTCATTTTAGGGCAATATAGTAGGAACACTAGTATAAGGACTTTTGGAGTCAGAACAATTTGGGTGCAAGTTAGAACTTTCCATCAGGAATAACTGATGCTTAAATCGCAAGGTTAAAATGTGGGTGAACTAAGAGAACTTAGTAGTTGGTAATAAAAGTGAGCTGTAGTCTTCCAGTCTGTCCTTTTCATCCTAAAAGGACACTGGCAATTCACAGCGTTGGTTAAAAGGTTTTTGTTCAGTGTAAGTGACTTATCTCTGAGCTTCTTCCAGAATACAATATTTTTATGAATTGAAAAATCCTCAAGCTGGAAACAGCCCTTACGGATCAACTCCTAAATTTAGATATTGCTTATCTTTTTTTTTTTTTTTTTGCCACAAAATTCACTTTTATAGCACAGGATCCAAATGCCAAATGAAACCAGTGTTCTATGTGTGTGTTTTGATCTCAAAAGGGGAAGGAAATCTGTCAAAATATATTGTTGACGTGCATTTTGGTTATTTATTCCACCTCACAAAGTGGTGTGAGGGTTGTTGTTTTTTAACTAAACTACATCATTTGTGTTTGGTTACATTTAAAAACTCAACCACTATTTCTCAAATAACTCCCATTGCATTGGTCTCTGATGTCTAAACATTTCCTGTGACTTTTAACATGTTCAACTTGACCGATTTTCTGACCAAAACATGTATCACTATTTCAACTGGCTCAGGACAAAATTCAGAGTTTCCTTAACACCCTAGTAAAGCTGTTAAAAATAAAGAAAAACAGGTCTCTCACCTAGAGTTTTATGCTTTTCAACTTCTAATGACCTACTCTGTGGGCAAGACAGGAGACACAGCAGTAAAGAGAACATGCACTGCACAGTGTAAGACTGATTTCCATGTCCAAAGTAAAAAAAAAAGTTAAGAAAAAATTTTTTTTTAAGTTTCAAACATTCAGGTGGTGCATTTCAAGTAAACTATTTACTGATAAAGATCTAATCTCCTTTTCCCCCTGAAACATCTTTTCTAAATATTTTGAAGCTGCCTCACACTTCAAATTTTCATTTGCTAACTATCATGTGGGCATTCTTTGCACATGTCTGAGACAGCTTCTTCTAAAACAGGTTCACTCTTTTTTGTTCAAATATCCATCAATTAAATAATGTGAAGAGGAAAATTATTTTTCTAAAAGAGTGTTGGAAAGAAATGAAGGATCTGAGAGTTGATATAGAAGTTGACATAAAAGTGATGGAAAATAAATTTATTCACATTTGTACAGTTTTATTCTGTCTGGCAAAAGAAGGAAGGGACAAATAACAGAACCACTACTTGGTTGAATTAACTGATGTCATTAATTGGTGTGCAGGGGCTGGGTTGTACCCACTCACAAGGGCCACTGTAACTGTGCTCAGTTCTACCCAAGCCGGAGTTCAGTGATAACAGGAGAGTTGGAAATTGAGCATGGTAAGAATATTTACACCACAGAAATGGGCAAGTGCAACCAACCAGGGCTTTTTTCCTCTTTCAGAGTTGGTTTACTAGTACACCATGGAATATAACAATATCATGATGTTACTTAATGTAAGTATGGCATGAAAAAGCAAGCAAACAAGAAAGGAAGGAAGGAAGGAAGGAAGCAAGACAGAAAGAAAGGAAAGGGAATAGGAAAGAAAAGGAAAGGAAAAAGAGATGGAAAAGGAAAAGGTCAGAAGAGACATCTGTTAAATGACACAGACAGATAAGTATTTTTTAAACTGATCCAGATGAGTTAGATGTAGCCAATGGCAGGGTCAGAGAAAGATGGTAGATATGCAGAGCCAGAGAAATCCCAAGAGGCTGTTTCTCTCCTCTGCAACTCCAGAGGCTTGTGGCTGTGATGATGGCCCACATGTCTACCGGCAGGCGTGCACACACACCCCAACACAGGAGACAAACATCAAAGGTCTGCACTGTTACCATAATAGGGCAGAGGGAGCTATGCTTGATTTCTGGGCTCCCTTCAAACTTTGAAGGTAGCATGGTTAAGTTCAAGTGCTTTGTGCTTTACCCAAAACAGAAAGGTAAGCACTGTCTTTGCCATCTGTATCCGTAGCTCCATGCCACTCACCACAATCAAGAAGCTGCCGTAATTCTGCTGGGTTGCTGGAGCTCTGTGCTCTGTATAGAGTTGAACATTCCAGACCTAGGACACAAAACAGAGTGAGCATGCGAAACACAGCTCTCTGGAGAACCTGTGAGCCTGCTGCCAGAAAGACATTCCAGTTTCCATCCAATATCTATTCTAGATGTGTACCAAATATTCTTGGAAGTCAACTCCTACTATTAATCCTATCTGGCATGTCAATAACTTTGGCAAATTTTTCTGTCCACCAAGGAGCAAGTTAATTATATTTTTTAAATTATGGAGAATTTAATAGTTTCCATAGAGTAACTACATGTTAATATGGAGCAAGAAATCAGACCAAGATTATGTCCCCAGTACACAGCAACACATCGCTTGGGTGTCTAGCACAGGATTTGATGAATGCCCAAGAGTCAAACGTAAGTTGTAACACCCATGAAACAAGGATATAACAAGTTAGCTGATTCCCTCTACCCGTCAGATTACCTTTCTTTTCAATGGCTTCTACTAGCTTGATAAGAAGAGGTGGAGCGATGTCAGGAGGGGCAAACTGTTCTGCAAGATCCGGAAGGGTCAAAGCTGCAAATAAACAAAATCCTATGATTATATTTAATTTGGGGGCAATAAAATACATCAAGCAACAATGAAGAAAATTTAATTACAAAATAATTTAGTTCTATTTGACAGTAGTAAACTCAAGCCTGAGTGAGAGAGAGCCCTGTGCTGGGCCTCCTCCAGCTGTGCCTCTTCCCACATTGTTGTGAGTTTGGGGGCCAAGACACACGGCCTTCTCTCCTAGGACACACTCAGAATCCTCATCTGGAATCCCTAAATTCCTTGCCCTGGAGGCTTCTCCTGGCCTCTTCCCCAGGTAGGCTTCCCTACCCTTGGGCTCAGAGGGAATGGAGTTTGGATGTGCAAGGCCCTGAAATGTGGCCTCCTGGTCATTATGAATAAATAACTGTACAGGCAGGAGGAGAGAACAGATTTTATCCGTTTCTTAATGTAATTCACAACTTTAAAATATTCAGACACAGGGGTACATGGGTTTCCTTTTGTATTCTTGTCTAAAGCCCCAAAAATGTCAGGGGTAGGCCAGTATCAGATTTGGGAGCCAATAGACACAATCACTGGCCACTTGGCACTCAGGTTAAGACCCCCTGTTCCTGCTTTGAAGCCTTTATCTGCTTACACTGTTTTGGTCACTTAATATCTTAAGAAATGTGACACTTTCATGAACCCACTTTTCCATGCTCTATTTACATGTTTTACTGATTACAATGCAATGATTCAAAAGAAAAAATCGAAATGGATGACACAAATGTCCTTCAACATTACATTGATAACTGTATTCTCACTCCACAATCATATGAAACATTTTAAATAAAATTTTTTCTCATAATAAACCAGAAGAGGGAGCTAAATTTCTCAAATTGCAAAATATAGGTAAAATAATAGTCTTTATGAAAGCATCTATATGTGCAACCTGCTTATTGGCTATTGATTAATAACTTTTTAGACACTTAAGGTTCATCACTGTGTACTTCAATCTAGGAATAGTTTATATAATATAAGATAGACTAAATATTTACAATTTTGTTTCAGTGAAATCTTAGGTGTGTAATTATTATAAGCCACATATCATGTTAAGCAAATTTCTAATGAGCCGTCCTCTTTCTAATACTATGAGTCTATATAAGGCAACAACAGATTTACAATACAAAAATAAATAAAATTGTGTTAACAAATTTTGACCTCAGAGAATTATGTCTAAGGTCCTTTTAGATTGCAGCATGTCCTGTGATAGACAACACCTGATCTTGCTACGCATCTCTATTAGCCATTGCAATCACCTAGGACAGTGGTCGGCAAACTCATTAGTCAACGGAGCCAAATATCAACAGTACAACAATTGAAATTTCTTTTGAGAGCCAAATTTTTTAAACTTAACTATATAGGCAGGTACACTGTTAACTTAATTAGGGTACTCCTAAGGCTTAGGAAGAGCCACACTCAAGGGGCCAAAGAGCCACATGTGGCTCGCGAGTCGCAGTTTGCCGACCACGGACTTAGGACAAAAGAAGAGCTAAATTATGGGAGAAAATCCTCAGCAGCACTGTCTAGCGCAGCGGTCGTCAACCTTTCGGACCTCAACGGACCACCAGTTGGTGACCGCTGGTCTAGTGGAACTTTCTATGATGATGAAAATGTCCTAATAGCTGTGCTATTCAATAAAGCGGTGACTAGCCACATGTAGCTACTGAGCACTTGAAACGCCACTGCTGGGGCTGAGAAACTGAAATTTTCATTTGTATTGACTTAAATTAAAATAGCTGTATGTGGCTAGTGACCCCAGTATTGGAAAGCACAGTCCTAGCAGATGACAGATTCCAGAGTTGGCTTTGTGCTATAGGGACCCCCATTATTAAGTCATCCCTGAGGACAGGGCGCCTGGACATAGGGCTGATGCACATCTGAACAATGGACATGCAAAGGTGATCGTGGGTGACTGTGTACTACTGTAACATCACTGGAACCCCTTTTTGACTTCCTGAAGGCAGGACAGATATGCCACTGACTTTCCAGACAGTCACTATGCAGACAGTTGAGTGGGAACTTTACCTCTCCTGTATTTCCTTTACCTGCCTGGGCCTATGGGCCACTTGAGACTTTGCTAGGAAATCAGAGTACCACCACAGGGCTCTGGAATTGGAATATCCAGGATGGAGTCAGTGATCTTTTTGGATTAGTAGTAAGTTTTAGGATGTGCTATTATGATAAGCAAGGTCATGTGGGTGACTCCCTGAAAAAATCCAGCAATACCATCCCCAAGTCTCTAAATCAGCGGTTCTCAACCTGTGGGTCGCGACCCCTTTGGTTGTCGAACAACCCTTTCACAGGGGTCACCTAAGACCATCCTGCATATCGATTCACAACAGTAGCAACATTACAGTTATGAAGTAGCAACAAAAATAATTTTATGGTTGGGTCACAGCATGAGGAACTGTATTTAAAGGGCCAGAAGGTTGAGAACCACTGCTCTAAATGTTAAAATGTGAGCATACCTAAAAAGCACTTAAAATACAAATGCCTTGAAAGTCTCAAATAGACTTTTTTAACTTAAAACTTTATAAAAAGAAATACTATAAAATGAAAGAGCACACTGTTTAATTTCTTCAAATTAACTATATAAAAACTATTTCCCCTTGCCTTTCAAAGATTATCAGTTCACAAAAATATGCCTTCACTGAACAAAATGAAATATCATCTTATCAGCAAGGAAAACATAAAGGTAGAGAAATGATGTGCAGAAATGTTATTAATTAGGACTCACTGTCGTTCTCTTCTTAGCCCTCTCAAACTTACAGGTCTTAGCACATGCCAAGATGCAGAAAGCTAACAGTTAAATCGTAAATCCACGAACCCACATATCCATCCAACACTCATCCAATTAACATGCCCAATTCCACCTTCTCTTCTCTCATAAATTACGCAAGCATTATGTTTTTTAAATTAAACAGCAAATCTTTGAAGTTGGCAACTGAAAATGGAATTACTTTTTATCTCCTTTCAGAATCTTATCAAAACAATCATTTCTGCAGGCAAATATGAAAGTTAAATTAAATGTTAAAGATTTCACCTAACTGTGAATTGAAATATATACCTAAAAGCTGTTATATTACTGAGTTGGCTATCTTTCTATTTCTTCACTTCAGCTTGAAGGAGGAAAAAAAAAAGGCAAATCCTTCTTTCCCCCGTTCTTTCAATGTTTCCTTGGCCAAAAAACAAACAAACAAACAAAAAAACCCAAAAAACAAAACACCAAAAACGGTAGTTTAGTTTCAGTATCCTGAGTTATAAAACATCATTTGTTTCACTCCCACAAGTGTTATATGAAGTTTCTAAAATGCGTTGTGATAACTATCAGGTATCTGAAACTTTTCTCAGAGTACACACCGGAATACTGCAAAAAGAAATAAATTAGATGTATGTGGTAGGAAGTACAGAAAATATACTGAATTTCCTACTGAATTTTTAATATTGAAAACAGCTTTATTACCTAAATGTATGAATCATCACAGCTGATCAAGGTTTTACAATGGGAGTTTCAAAAGGTAAACTTACAAGGAGACGATTTTTAAAAGTAACAATGCAAGGATTTCCTATTCTCTAGTACAATATCTGTGATTCAATCCATTTCCCCTTTAAAATATTTAAACAGGGAATATGGAAGTCCTACCCAGAAACATTTAAAATTCACATATTTTACTCCAGGCAAAAGGATCCACTAACATCAAAAGTCTAAAAAGCATTCTAAAGCAAAAATATTCATTATTTCAACAATCCTAAAATCAATGATTCCTTTAATTATATTAAATACCCAAGGTCGACATCTACTTTTCCATGAGACCTCATTTTAAAAAACTCCAACAGGAAATGACAACAGCTAGGAATTACCAAATTTGGTAAGTTGTTCTTTCAAAAGTCGTTGATAAGCCCTACATCATACAGTTCAATAAACCAAAATGTAATGTACCTAAAAAAATATATAGATCATCTATGGTGGCTATCAAACAAAATAGAAATTAGCATGTTCCTCATAAAGTTTGCACATAAATTCTCATTAGATTTCATCTTCCAGACAGATTTTTATACCTGAATGAGGAATGCTTTTTAGCTGTGAATCCTGTGGTAGCCAGTATAATAAGTCTGGGGAGGCAAGTCTGGCGAACACAGATTCTTAGCTGAATCGTTTTTTTCATCAGAAGAAATCAGTATTATGTAAGGAGAAAGAAGTAAAAAAAAAAAACAAATAGCAGTAGGGTCTAAAAGAGGAGAAGCCAAGATGTATTGTTTCCTAAGAAAAGAGGAATCGGTCTTCAGCACTGAACTAGGTGCCCCAAACTACAGAAAGAATTTTTGATGACACATCAGGTTCTGCATTTTCCACTAGCTCTATTTTCCCCCCTTTGCCCTGGTGACAACCAATCACGTAGACAGAAGAGAGCCTTCTCTCCAAACTCACGCCCGTCCCAAACCACTAACATGGACAGGCCTGAACAGTCCTTGGGCACTGGCGGTGTGTAGGAGACAGTGGCATTCCTCGCACTGCATGGTGCCAACACCGCTACAAAGTGCAAGATGAAACCAGCACACAGCCGCACCTTTTGGAGGCGGTCTCCATAAAAAAAGATATTTTAGACTTAGTGCCTGGCAGGGACGAATGGAAAGTTTAAGCTGAAATTCTGGGACTCCAGAGACTGCCCAAGCCAAGTATTTCATTACTGATGAAAGCAGCTTGGAAGTACATGAAAAACTGCCCCTTACCTTTTAAAATCTAATACAAATACGTGGAAGAGAGTGTGTATATGCAAAAGTGTGGATCAATATTAAGTCAAGATGTTTGTCTAATCTCTGTTGCTGAATCAAAACCTGATTTTTGTCTGAAACAACCTCATTACTTCAAATAAAAAAATGTACATTCTGGTGAGCAAGAATCTAACAAATCCCAATACTTTTCTTAAATAAACCTTATAAGCACACTCATACGTTACGCCTATAATGGTTAATACCCTGAA